TGTACAATCGTGTGACCGGTAACCCGAATGGGTGCAAAATGTAGTTTCGGTGTGGGCGAAAAGTACGGGGGCCGCACCCCTCCCCCTGAGGCTCTCACGTCGCGCCCTGTTTTTCTGGCGCGTTTCCTCGACGCGTTATACTTAAAGCTGAGTGTTTGCGCATCAATCGATGCGACCCAAGATTTTAATTCGGGAATATCACAATGTCTCTACAGCAAATACAGGACACAGCTCCGAGTCCCTTCAGTTTCGAACCTCCCGTAGCGAACGATAGTGGTGTCGGATCAAGTATACCGTCGAAGCGGAGCTCCAAGGCGCTCGACTCCAGCGACACGGACGCAGTTCAAAAGACCGCCGCTGCTGCCAAAAGAAGCAGGAAGAGAAATTTTGATGAGATAAACGATACATATTTCGAGGATGAAGTCGAACCGAGTCTCAACCTTGAAGCAGTTGCAGAGGTTGGTGATGGATTGGGTGCGGCCGCGGATATTTCCATTTGCCAGAGTAAACGGGCTTTTAGCGGAATCCGACCGCCTTATCTGGTGTATCCAAGATCTCAATACGAAGGGTATCGTCATGAGCTTCCTAAAGAGAAGGAGAGGACTGTTATCCAGTTCTTCCAGGTAAATTACCTGTAATCATAAGGTGTCTGCCTGCTAACATTCATTGCAGAGTAACGAGCAAAAGAGTGATATCGATCTCTCTGACGATCCAGACTTCTTTCATCAATACCGCCTAGACGACTTTTCTATATACCATCCGCTCAATGACAAACGACTTAGCGGCGAACTCACTTGCGTGTCGAATATATGTACCCGGGGAGGGTTTGACCTCCTCTTTGATGGGGTCCTGTCCGACGGACAGCAGCGGCGATACGTAGAAAAGGTCCCGTTCAAGGTGTTATCCGTGGGAAATTATACCGACTTGACAAAGCACGATGTATCACAGAGCCTATGGATACAGTCCGCGCTGAACTCCCACAGTAATATCTGGTATGCGTTGGGCACTCCGTCGGGTGCCTACGCACACTATTGGACTCCCTTTGTGTGGCTAGCCAATTTCGCTAAACACTTTGTGTACGTCATCTATCCCGCTACTTTCGTCCTCTATCCCCCTGCTTTCGTCCTCTATCCCCCTGCTTCCATCCTCTATCCCCCTGCTTTCGTCCGAAGTCTATTTTTCTGACATGGATCTGTGCGTATCAGAGACTACCTCAGCGAGCATGAATTTGTGGTGCTGCTGGACTTTAAATACAAGTTCTCTAAATGGATAAAGACACACCATGCAGGCCATGAGAGCTTCGACAGGTGGTTTAATGAATATGGCAAAGATGATTTTCGACAACCTGTAGCTGTTCACAGAGACTGGCTGTGGAATCAAACATGCTGCTACTCACAAAACCTTACTACTAGACACGTCTGGAATGAGGTACTTCACCTCAAGTCCGTTAAACAGGCACCAGGGGCCTGGATAGAAAAAACCGTGGTCACACCTTATGTACACGAATGTTTTGAGCACATGTTTGGCGATAAGATGATGGTTGTCAACCCCCCACAGAACGTTGAATCTTTGCAGTTTTCGGGCGTCCACATTCCAAGCCCAATCAGAGCAAAACGTGACGAAAATGGTAATCTTGTCAAGTTGGTGGATGTACAAGTCAAGGTTGGAGATGTCATCGCTATCCAGAAAGACGAAGGCACGGAGTGGCAGAGCACAAGTAATACCTGGTATGCCTACGTCCAGTCTATCCAGTACAGCAAAAATGACGATACAGAGCCATATGCGTTGGATGTTATCTGGCTTTATGCTCCTTCAGACACAACTCTTGCAAAGGAAAGATATCCGTTCAAAAACGAAGTGAGAAAATTCCCCTCAAAGACTGTGCATAGGTGGCGTTCAGTTTGACTAATTGATACAGCTATTCTTCTCGGACCACTGCAATTGTAGTGAAGAAAAGTTGTACGCCAGCGATGTCATTACTACGCTTGCTGTAAGGCTCTTCGAAGGACCCAATGATGGGAAGGAGTTTTTCATTCGACAGAAATATCGTACTGGTGATCCAGCATTCTTGACATTGTCCAAGGAGGACCTTACAGGGTGTAGGCACAAGAGGATACTGAAATCTCCATATCAGACTGTAGTATCGCAGTACCAAGTAGGGGACACAGTTCTCGTCGGGGCTGTTCTTCATGGAAAGAAGGATATCCTAGAGCCAGTCGAAATCTTTTATTTTGACGATTTCACAAGCGAAGTCCACGTCAGGGTTTTGGGACGTCGTATTGCGCTTGAAGACGCAAGTAAAGCTCGGCCAAACGAGCTTTTGTACACCGAAAAAATAGTGCCTATCAATCCTCAGTTCATACATAGGCGCTGCCATGTACGCTTCGTCTACGAAGAGGATGTAAACGCAGGGAATATTCCGCTTCCGTACGACCGTAATGGCACCAGCGACTGTTTTTTTATCTCGTCGTATTTGTACGGCCCGGACGGCGAGCAGGGTATCCAACCTTTCGAGTCAGATAAGTTTCCCCAAACTTTACGTCAAGGGTTTGACCCAGATGTTCCACCCAGTGCCCCAATTCTCAATGGGCTGGACTTGTTCTGCGGAGGAGGAAACTTCGGAAGAGGTATTGAGGAAGGCGGTGTGATTAATATGAAATGGGGAGTCGACATTGACGTACCTGCGATGCACACGTATGGAGCGAATCTGCGAACACCAGGTGAAACTGCGCTTTACTTAGGAAGTATTAACAATTATCTGCGTGATGCAATCCTGGGGAAAACCAGTTACATTATTGCTGGAGCTGTAAGAACCCCATTTTCCTTTTTTTCCCCCGCAATCTCTAACACAACGTAGGGGGAGGTTGGCTTTATTAGCGCCGGATCACCTTGTCAAGGTTTCTCCAATGCAAACCGCAACAAGTTCAGTGAGAAATCGCTGCGCAACTGTTCACTTGTTGCCTCTGTGGCCACTGCTGTAGATTTCTACCGCCCAAAGTATGCACTACTAGAAAATGTCCACGGCATGGCAGCTACCCGCATCATGCCAGACAAACGTGAAATCAACGTGTTCTCGCAGCTCCTGTGTTGTCTCGTGGGCATGGGATACCAGTGCCAGCAGTTAACACTCGACGCCTGGTCCTTCGGCAGCCCGCAATCACGCACACGTCTATTCCTCAGCATCGCCGCACCTGGCCAGAGGCTCCCACCGCGCCCTCCCCGCAGTCACGAGCACCCCTCGTCAATTCGAGATCTTTCCCTCTTCAAGGCTCCCAACGGACTGAAGTTTGGCGGCAGAGAGCTTGTCGGCCCATGCACCTACCCAGCTCCCACCTCCAGGGAGGGCTTTGACGACCTCCCCTTCCTGGGCAACAACCACGTTGGAATCTGTATCCCTTTTCCCGACCATCGTATCTCCCGTATCGAGTCATGGAGAACACGCACAATCATGGCCAACGTCCCCAAGCACGGCGTCAGCGTCCACCAGAACTCCTGGCGCGCCGCCATGAAGGCCGGCCGCATGCCCAAGGGCTGCGGCTACGAAATGTCAATCTCGGAGTACAAGGTCCGCGACGGATGCAAGACCTGGTCCCGCATCCTGGGCGACGGCCTCTGCAGGACCGTCACTACTACATTGACACCGCAGTGCTCGTACACGGGTCAATGGGTGCACTATGACCAGGACCGCCTCATCACCATCTTGGAGGCTAGGCGCGCGCAGAGCTTCCCCGACGATGAGATCTTGCTGGGAAATGCGTCTCAGGCGTTCAAGATTGTGGGCAACAGTGTGGCGAGGAGTGTGGCGTTGGCGTGGGGCCTGGCCATCAGGTATGCGTACCTGGACGAGGTCATTGAAGATGAGTTGACCGCTGATGCCTAGGCGCGCGGTGTATGTGGGGTGTGGGGGGTGAATTCTAAGGGCTTCTTCTTCTTTTACTTTCTTTTACTCTTCTTGTCTTCTATTACCTCTTTTCGCTTTACATTTAATGGTTTACTATTGTTTCCTACTCACGTTTTTCGTTGTTTTTTTGTTTTTTTTTTACGGCCAATTGTTACCTGTCAATAACGTACAGGATAGAAAGAAAGAGAGAGAAAGAAGGAGAGAGCAAAGTTATTGTTAGGTGGCTGTCGTTGGGAGGGTTGGTAGGTGTGATGAAAAACAAGAGTGTCCTAGGAGTTATACATCCTTTTCCCCCTACTTTTTTCCTATTTTTTTCCTATTTTTTTCCTAAATGATGTTCTATACCTTCTTGTGTTTTTTTTGTTTTTTTAGGGTTCGTTCGGTTCATCACTCACTCACTACTGAATGACTCCGAAGCGGAGGGAAAGAAAAAGATAATCGTTTTTTCTGTAATGTACATTACTCGGAAAAAAAGATGTGGTCTGGCTTTCTTGTTTGTGTGTGGAGCGGAGTGGAGTATTAGTTACAATAGATCTTTTTTACGGTGTTGGTGATACTGGGAATTTTGATCATTGGCCCTTTTTTTGCTTGTGTACTTGCGTGGATGTGTGTGGCGTGGGCTGGTGTGTTGCAACACAATGGATGGTTCGAGTCTGGCTGTGGTGCTGAATGAATGGACGTCCATTCTTCTTCCCAGGTACGGGCGGAGATTGCTTTATTCGTTTCAGCGCGAAGCACGGCATTGTTTGGTGCACAAAGAAAGGATGGGGGACAAAGGCTAGGTATGTAGGTTAGGTGCCAGTGACCATTGAGTGGGGATGCAGACACCCTCCCAGCACCCCCAACCTTCCCGCGTGTTCCGGGTCTGGGGAAGGGGGCAAGCAGAAAGACAAGCGGTTGTAGTGAACAAAAGACTATTCCTGTCAAGAGACCTCAATCTGCAGTGGCTGGCTGGCTGGCTGGCCTTCATCTCCGCTCGGGCCAAAGACAGCGACATTATAGTAGTAGCATGTGAGTAGAGCACTTGCAATTGGGTTTTGTTTTGTAGGTACACGACATGTAACTACGTATTATTTTTGTTTCTAATATTACATATACGCTATTTTATTTTGCTGCTACCGCCCTTGCCGGCCTTTATGCTCCCCTCGAACCCGGGCCGGCTCTTCTTTGCTCCGGCCTTCTTCTTCTTCTGTTTTTCCGCCGCTTTACCGGCACTGTTACTCCCCGGCGCCGCAACAGACGCAGGCGTAGGTGTAGACGCAGGTTTAGGCGCCGGAGTAGTAACCGCAGGAGCGGGCGCGGATGTCGGCACCGGCGTCCCCCTTGGTGTCCCCACAACTACACCACCACTACTACTCCCGGGCCGTGCAGCACTCTTCACCACCCGCTGCCTCACTCGCTGCTCCTTCTTGCGCTCCTTCCGAGTCTGCGCCTCCTCCTTCCGTCGCGCGGCCATGAGCTCGTTGCGGTTGCGCGCTGGCGTGCCGTCGGGGCTGTCGGCGTTGCGTTTTGCGCGCAGCTGCTGGATGCGCGCCTCGAGGCGGGCCTTCTGCTCCAGCCGCTTTTCGGGCGAGATCTCGGCGGTCTTTTTGGAGATCGGTGTGGAGGGGGCGGGAGGCGGCGTGGCGGTAAGGTCTGTGCTGAAGGTGAAACCTGAGAGCTGAATTTCTTCGGCTTCGCCGCCGTCGTCGTCGGAGTCGGGGGCGGCGTCGGTTTCTTTTTTAGCGGGTGTGGCGGGCTTGGACTTGCTGCCTTTTGCATGTTTGGGTGTGCTACTTGCTTCGGCGGCCTTTGCGTCTTTCTTTTGCTGTTTCTTTTGCTTCTTCGTCAGTGGCTCGTCGGCCGCCGGCGCTACTACTGCTACGTCTTCGCCGCCGCGGACTTCGAGCACCGTGGTGTCATCGGCCTCGAGCTGTTGCTGCTGCTGGCGCCCAAAGTCTGAGGTTGTGATGAAGGCGTCAGGGTCGAGTTTGGCTTTCTTTGCGCGCTGCGATTCCTCTTTGGTTTGTTTGCGCTTATTCCATTGCGTCTGTAGGATCTCGCGGGCGTAGAGTTAGCTAGCATAGCGCAGGGCAGAGAAGGGCGGGCGGGGCAGAGAACATACGCTGCCGTCGCCGACGCTGAAGTAGTTCTTTGCGGGGATGAGGTTGAGCAGTTGCGTGAATGCTGCAGAGTGTTTGCGGAGTCGCTCCTGTTCTATATGAGCTAATTTTCCCGAGTATTTTTACTTTTACTTGTGAAGGTACCTCTAGTTCTACGGCGGTCGCGGTGACAGATGCCATTGTTTAATGCGGGCCAGGGCGGTGAGGGAACGTGTTTTTCTCGCCGGAAGTCTCGACGTTGGTGAGGATTTGAAGATTAAAGATTGAAGATTGAGACATTGCGTGTGGTGTGCCAAGGCGCTAGCGGGGCTTGGGGATGGAATGGGTGCTGCAGACACTGGACAGACCTAACCCTGCTGGGGAGGGACTGGGGGAATGATTGGGCTGCAGCAATGCAATCTGAGGAGAGCTTGGGAACGCGGCTGTTGGGTGTGGGGCTGGCTGATGTGAAGAGTGCAGTGCGGTATGTATGTATCTAGCTGTTGTGCCACGCAGTGAGCCCAGGTAGGCAGATGGGACGTGGTTGTGGGGTTTTTATAGTGGGGGGGGGGGGGGGGCGCGGGGGGCTCTAAGGTGTGGCGAGATACATACACACTCAAATGCCAGCAGTGCATGCCACCGTTGCAAGTGCTAGCTCTAGCCAGAGTACAGACATTGCACATAAGCTCTCCGTGGTGCCACCGTAATGGGCCACCTTACATGTACTTACGATGAGACTGACGGCCCTGGTACATCTGGCAAAAGCTCGGTGCCTGTGGGAGGCCATCCAGTATCAAAATCTGGCAAATATAAGCTCCCAACTGAAATCTCAGAATGCTACCTATTACAGTACCTACATTACCCAGACAGAAAAGACCATAAAAACACCACAAACACCATAAAAAAACTCAAACCGCTACAACTCATCCTTATACACCCTTGCGTCTGTCAGCGGGACATACATCACGCCAAACTGCTTCTCCTTCGTCACCTTCCCGTCCTTGTCCTTATCAACCACCCATATATACTGCCCCGCGAAGCCATTATCGACCGGAATGAACATCCTACCGCACCCCCATTAGCCACAGCTCCAACCATCACCGCAACCGGCTCTAAATAACCCACCTTCCGGGCGAATTCAACTGGTCAACCAAGCACTGGTGGATCTCTGACGCCGCGGCGCCAACATGGATTGCATCATACGGGCCTATCCTCCCCCATCTCCCACCTCATCCTTTAGCACACCATCATCACACCTGAAAGCCCGTAAGAAAGAGGGAAAGGCGCACCGCACTCGGCCCACCCGAGTCGTCCGTCGGCTTTGATGATCTTGATGTTGCCGTTGTCGAGCATCTGCGCGTGCACGGGGTCTTTACGGAGGTTGTTGATGCTCATATCGCAGAGCTGCTGGATGTGGTCGATGCCGACTACTAGCCCGCCGGGGGACACCTGGGATTGACGCTATTTAGCTATATGGAGCTCCTAATACAGCTCTTTGGGGGCAATAGGATCGTAGAAGAACGAATTGGCTGGTAGGTAAGGCAGAGAGGACTACTACTAACTAAATGCGCAAGCACGGCCGTGAGGTACCCGCTACCGCTGCCAATATCAAGAACTTTCTTCCCGGGCCCTAAGAGCGGGAGGAGCGTTTCTGCGGCCTATTCACATACAGAGCTTCAATGTTAGGACTAGAACTGTACCCCGTAGAACTGTAGTTACCACTTCTTTGAAAAAAATAATCTACCAATCCCCTCCCAATCCCCACAAGGCAGACCAGTAGCAGCTAGTGATAAGCAGAGAAAGGGACGGGCAAACATACATTCGCATGTATATGCGGAGCTACATCCCAACCCCATCCGCACCCACTGTTAGCCACAAATCCAAATCCAATCCCCACCCGCACCCCCAACACTAGAAAGATGAGTAGAAAACAATTACCAGATATAGTAGCATCATACCCAATCCTCTGTGGCGAGTCCTCGTACGGCATGATGGGGCTGAAATGGGCTCTATCGACCTAAGCTCTCACTCAGCCATGAACAACCACTGGCGGGGAGCAGGCTGTGGAGTAGATATACGTTCAGTAGAGTAGCCTTCACGACGGGGCTCTTGACGAGGCCGTGGCGCCAGAGGTTGGCGACTAGGCCTTCGTTTGTGGTGGAGGAGCAGCGCCAGCTCATTGTACGATTGGTGTTTGGGGCGTGGTGGTGGGCGGTTTTGTTTGTGAGGATTCTGGAGCGGGGAGGAGGAAAGCTGGGGGTATGCAATGACGATAATGGATGGCAGATATGCGCACGTATGTAGGTGGAAGCTTTTAGTTTCGTTCTCATTCAGTAAGTAGGAGATGTAGATGTCATGCAGCTAGCTAGCTAGAGACATGTACAGTGTAGGTAGATAAAGATAGCACCACTCCCTCCTCACTCCACTCCACTGCACCCCACAGCACGATAACAACCACAACCCCGCGGGGCGGACGGCGGCGGGGTACATATCCTCCATCCGCACCTACCCTCTCCTCTGCCCACCAGGCCGTGGTGGGTGGTGACGGGCTCACAGCGTCATTGTTGCACTACACCACCGCCTGCCTTGGTGGTGGTGATGCGCTCCGGGATTAGGTGCATAGAGTAAAAAAAAAAATTGAGGATATTCGTCGGCCAACCAGATGCAAGTTTTGGACCCCTGCTGCATCGTAGCAGATATTGCGGTACCTACATGGAAAGTGGGTACATGTACTCTGCTCTGGAGTAGGTACTCTAGCATGCGTTTTTTGCCTTACATGATGTGTTATGTAGATATATACGAGGTGTGAGATATGTAGAGTACCTAGATGTTTTTTCTAACTACATGTACATGTTACATCTTATATGTTTTTCTTATAATCGCTGATAAGACAATCGTTATTTCTCCAATTACATGTCTTTTTGCCCGAGAAAGCAAGGAAAAGAAAAAAAAAGAGAAAGAAAAAAAGTCCTCTTATAATACAGATATATATTCCGTCACAGCTCAAATGTCTACGAAGAACACCACACAGAACAGAGAGAGAGCTTGAAATACGTAGTTAAGGGGAGGAGAGGTTTGGGGGGGGGGCAAAAAAGAGGAAGAAGAGGTGGAGAGAATGCTTATGTAGCGATAAAGGAGCACTGACTAGTCCAAGGAACAAAGGAAAGGAAGAGAGGAAGAAAAAAAACAGTTACGAAACTGGAGAAAAACTATACCAACCCAGACCCAACCTAAACCCATACTGCACCAAAAAAAAATTGGGGGGAAAAAAAAGATAAAAGCAATAAAAAGGAAAAGAACCCTGTGCCCAAGAACAGCCTGGATGCATGGAGTGAGAAAGCCCGGTGAGTAGTACCTTTGGCTATCCTCTCTATGCTCGTTTATAAAATAAGAGTAGAAGAAATCAAGATAGCGTATCGTTTCTATACTGCTCTTGCAGAATCCTCGTTCTCGGCAATGATGGCCGTACCAAGCCCACGATCTGGGCTTGACAACACCACTTGCTCCATTTGCCGGGCCTGTAGAAAGTTTCGTACCGATCTAATGAGGATAAACCATCCAACTATCATCAAAATATAGCTCAAATACTCATTCTTGCCAATGCGGTCGCTAGAACCAGTGTCGACCATGTCTTGCGCGCTTAAATCGTATGAGTTTGGTGATTGGGGTTCGCTCTCAGCTGGCGGGGAGGTTCCTCCAAAATCATCACTCCGGGAGCGCATATAGAATCCATATTGGATCAGCGTGATACCCAAACCTGCGCGTGAGCCGTTCTTAGCCGCGTGAGTCGTATGAAGCAGGTATGTGAGTAAGAATCCGACAAATTGGAACGACATGGAAACTTGAACGACGTTAGTGAGTCTATATTAAGTGATATTGGGGAGCTTGGGGAAATGGCATACTCATAGCGTTCCAGATAAAGGCAAACACAGAGCCTACGGGCAATCCGTCGATAAAAACTTCATCACTAGCCATCCCAGGAGCAAGGATAGTAGTTTCCCAATATGGAGGAGTGGCATCGGCGGCAGCTTGTTCATATGACTAGCAAAAACACAGAACCGTCAGTTGACTCTAAAACTCTTTATCTGCATGATCCTTGCCCAGTTGGAACCTACCGGTGGATGCTCCTCAACTTTCTCTCCGACTGTAGGCTTCGCGCTGATATTAGCGAACACTCCATCTGTTTGTCCACCACCAAAAATCCTTCCTCCTGGTATCCCCCCGGCTGCCGAGCTAGCCTGTGTGGTACTCGAGTTCGTTGAGACCAAAGGTATCGATTCTCGGAAATTCGCATTCTGCGACCCGCGCACATTTCTCATATCGTCCTCGTCATCGCTCGGGCTATCGAACGAATCAGAGAGCTCCGTATTTGGTTCCGATATTTCCGGAAGGGACCGGAACGAGGGGGGCGCGGAGTTCGGAATCGAAGTTACGGCGCGAGTTGATGAGGCATTTGCCCGAGAGCTTGTTATGTTGCCGTGGACATCGAGATCCTCATCTTGGTGAGCAAGCTAGTGGGGAGTTGAAGTGCGGTGTTAGCAACATTAGGACGCGCATGCTTGCAACACACGAACATGTGATCTCAGGGGGGCGCCTACTCTCTCGTATCTGGGACCCATGAGAAATAGTGAAATGGGTTTATGTGCTAGAAAGGAGACGAGGAGCGAGATAAACAACGACTGGTGAGAAGCTTATGGAAGGCGAAGGGATAGAATGTACGTCGGGCGGCAGCTATAGCAGGAGGAATGGTAGTAGTAGCGGTGGTAGCAAAGCAGAGTTTAAGAAGAAGCCTCACACTGACCGGGGAGCAAGATGAGGGAGGGTATAGAAAGGGTTGAAGTCCAGTGGAGCGATGGTGAAACGTCTAAGCGTTGAGGGGTGGAGCTTTACATACAATACATGCCATGATTATATAACCAAAGTAACCCTGAGCGTTTCCTGAAACAGACCAAGTGCCTTCAGCCAAGCAATTTTTCAAGATGCTCCGCCACACCTCCTGGAAGATTCTCCGCCAAACTGAATTCCTCCGCCCCGACTGTGTTCAGTGCTTAAATCCTTTGGACCCCCGCTATGACTGGGACTCTGTTTCGCACAGGCTATGATCCAAGGTGTGCGATCTATGATATATTTGCCAGTTTCTTGCCTGCATGATGGAACTCGATCTCCGAGTGATAATTGGTGTCGCCAATGAGATATGCAGACTGCTTCTCTCTAATCCCGTATATTCGCAAGCTCTTTCACTCAACAGATACCCGAAGTTTTGAGTAGTTAACAATTTATAACCACATTATGCACAATCTCACACGCATTTCTGCAAAACGATGATATTTCTGGTTGTAAGAGGCACCGATCGAGGTGCTCAAGAAGTAGCACACGGTCGACCCAGTGTTAGCTCAGCACCTCTTTACATCAAAACCTTCTTCCAATTTACTACATGTATGTTCATCAATGGAAACTTCTTCACACTTAAAATCAATAATTACTACCTCTACGGAGTAATGGCATATTATCTGAACTCGTGAGTTGCCGAAGTATGTTACTCAGATAATTAAGGACTCGTTACACGCTATTGATAGCGTCATTCATATTGTCCGCTGATATTTAAACCCGAAGTCGGGCTAAATTTCTCGAAACCCTTTGCTTGATTCGCCAAGATTAGAGAAACCCTACTGGTTAATAAAAGTTTTTCCGAATCGCGGTGTCTATCAAGCTAAATACTCTCATCTGTTTTGAGGGGGCGTTCCACCAAATTTCTAGAAGATGGGGAGGGTTTGCAGGAACGGATGCGGCTGCTTGGGAGATCAGATTGCGACGTTGTAGCGTGGTGACGTGGGGTTGGAGCGCATCCCGCACTTACACTAATGCAGCTGGAGACTTGGCAGGTGCACGGACCACCTAGAATCACGAAACCTCGTTTGTCTCGAACAGCGGAGTCAAATCAACTTGCACCTGGGTCGTCTGAAGAACATCAAGCAAATCCCTTCGACAATCTCAAAGCTTAACCGATGTTCAGTTCGATATCGAAATCACGCAAATTGGGCACTGCGGAAGCTTGACTTTCATAACATACTCCGTCATCGGATTATCGATACAGGCCTTGAGGAGGTTTCAACTGAGCTACAGATCACTCCAGGGAGCATTGCTTCATCGCCACAGCGGCCACACTCACGCAGAATAAGCATGAGCTTGAGCCACTGGTTTCTTTGGCATGGGGACAGGGATTTATACACGGCCTGAGTAGGTGCAGTCCCGGTTAAACAACTCCGTTTAAGATTTCTGGGACAACACTTTAGGGTTCTGCAGGCTCTAGAGGGGGGTATTTTAAAGGACGTGTACACACCTCGTCAGTGCAGACCGACACAGCAAGGGAACACATATTGGCGTTTTCCAGTCAGCCGTGTTTACCAAAGGACCTTGTATTTATTTATTTATTTTCAGATAAAGAGGCAGTAGGTGAATGAGTGAGGTCAGGTCAGAAGGCCATGCCATGCCATGCCATCACCTTCAACTGGACCTCCCATCGATGACTGAAGATGAGGATGGGGGGTGGGAGTTGCAGAGAATGAGAATGAGAATGAGGAGGAGGAGGAGGAGGGGAGAAGGAGCATCTCACCCCAAGGCTGTGGGTTATTATTGCTACAGAGGCTTTGTAGTATGGTCTATCTTCGTGGGGAGTCGTCCCACGGCCACTTATCATCCCAAGTACCCACATCTGGTGTTGCTTTCTGTTGCCATCCATGAACACAAATTTATTTACCTTTTGTCAGTGCAAAGCAAATGAGCGTTGGTTAGGAAGAGGCCGTTGTCATTCCCTAATTTTTTTTCCCTTTCTCTTTTCCTCTCTCCCTCTCTGCCTCCGATGTTCTGAAGGTCCTACTGCTTCTGCTCTACTGCTCCTGAATTTCCCCGGCCACGCAACCCAAACCCTTTCTTTTCCTTCTTGTACGAGCTCCATCTCCTTTCTCTTGCCTGTCTTTGTCTTTTATTCTTTCGCTTCCTCTTCTTCGTCCGTTTCCCCTCGCCTCATTCTTCATCTCTCTCCTCCCATCACAACACAACAACCCTTTTTCTCAGTCGCCATCGTATCTCTGTTGCAATCAAATCCCAGATCACCCTTTTTATCTCCCACGGATTGTCCTCAAAATAACTCTAAAAGCAAGATCAAGAAATTAAGTAAAAAAAAAAAAAGGCGTCAACCAAAAATAAAGAAGTCCAAGAGAGAGAGAGAGAGAGAGAGAGAGAGAGAGAGAGAGACGCACAGAGATAGAAAATATCCCGGACTCCCGGACTCCCGAAAATCCCCTCCCCACCCCCCAAACAACTCTTCTTGATCCGTTGGACGAAGGAATAGCCCTTCATGTCAGCGTCGTTTGGGAGTCCCTCTTCTTCCGTGCACCCTCGTGTTCACCCGTCGTCGTCGTCAAAGTCCAATTCAACCCATGGTGTTGTCACGACCGCGGATCCCAAGTCAACGTCAACAACCCTTTCTTCTACTGCTTCTGCTTCGCGAAGTACTAATAACAACTCGCCGTTGTCGTCCTCTTCCACAACTATATCCCCGTCGTCATCTCACCCACATCGTCAACCTAAATATCCTCAAGATGTTGCAACTACAAATCCAACATCGACAACTGCTCCCCGTAACAAAAAAACTATAACATATCGTCACTCAACTGGCCAATCAGAACAATCACGCCACGAAGTTATCAATCTGGACTCCGACACGGAAACGAGCAGCTCTTCTAAAAAAAATAGCAACCCATCTCTTTCGTCTGCAAGAAATCGACAGAGTCTTCAGCCCCCTTACGACCCGATCCCACGTGGTTCTACTGGCGCCTCTACAAAATCTGCTCACCGTGCTTCCGCATCTCCTTCTATAGCGTCTTTAATCGATCCCCAACCACCCCCGCCCCAATTGAGTACAGCGCCTACCGAAAACCCAATTACCAATTCACCGACATTAGCATATGTTACTGGTGTCCCCGAAAAGAATGTAATGAAAGTTGAAAATATCTCCAGATCAGCCGATGCTGGCGAACCTTTGAACCGCTCGCCAAAATCCAAGCCCGGGACTGCTCCTCCTTCAGCTGCACCGTCTCCGAAACCTCATCGTGCAGTGCCCGCTTCAACATCTGGAAACGGATTGCTTGGAGGTGTTCTACCGGGTGCATCGGGAAGCAAGGAAATAGAGCCACAACTTCCAAACATTCATATACATGTCCCGCTCAATGGTGAGAACAACAAGTATATCAACTTTACCAAGTTGGCAGAAGAGCGTTATGGATGGGCCGCTTTAAACCCAAGGCTTGCAAAAGCCAGGGAGAGAATGATGAGAGGGGATAATAGTGGAGATGAAATGATGATGGATGGGTCAGAATCAGAATCGAACATGGAGGTTGACAAACCTATGGGAGGTGTTGATTCTGCGGCAGAGGGAAAGAAGATGCGAAAGAAGAGGAAGAACCAGGATATTTACGATAAGAATGACCCGTTCATCGACGACACGGAGATGCTGTGGGAAGAACAGGCTGCTGCATCCAAAGATGGGTTTTTCGTCTATAGCGGACCGCTGGTTCCAGAAGGGGAGAAGCCTCAAATTGAAAGGTAACATCTTAAAGCACGCAATATCAATATCACAGAGAACCGTACTGACATTTATTATAGGGCCGATGGAACTGTAAAGAGGGGTAGGGGCCGCGCTCGTGGTACCACAGCCCGTGGAACTACATCTACGCGCGGCGCAACTATTCGGAAGCCTCGCATGTCCAAGAAGGATAAAGAGAAAATGGAGAAGGAGAAGGAAGAGAGGGAGAAATTCTCACAACTTGCTGCGAAAGCTACTGCTGGGCAATAAGCTGAAGCTCCTACAAATGTGGCCTTAATATTTCCCAACTCTTCGAATGTCATTTTTTCTCATCATTCGCTATTTGTTTCTTCACTTCGAGTGAATACTTGGCCAAGCCCTTCTTTTCTTTTATTTTTAATTCTGTATTCCTAGTTCTTTGGGAGGGAAGGTGGGAGGTGGGAGGAATGGAGGAATGTGGATGATATTTGTATAACTAGATACGAGACGATACTACTGATAGGCGTTTAAGATTATTCATATCTTTAAAGAGAGGGTCGAATGTGTGGATACCTAGATACCTATAATAGCAACTGGAAGGGATTTGATGTGGGATTGAAGGGGTCACAATCAGGGGAGATAGAGTGATGTTTCGTGGATTCGGGAACCGTGCGGTCCACATGTGCGGTACCTACATCATTAGAAGTTGGGTTCCTGAGAACATCCTTTAGCGACCAACACCTGGTGTCACGGATAGACGCAGCAGCCGCCCCTGCTATTGTACTACAACCGCTCACCGCACGTCAGAGCAGAGCCCCCACATCCACTGCAAGCCAGCCCTAATCAAACAGCTATCGGTTCAACTCCAATCCCGATAGAACAGCAGCAGCGGGGAGTTACCTACACATCTATGTAAGTGATGCTTACCTGAGAGAAGGATACATACCATGCCATGTACATAGAAACGTTCCAACATTGGATCCACTCAATCTCATCTGCTTTCATCATCATTTTCGTCTTCATTCTCCTATAAACCCCTCATTGATTTGACCTGTAAAGTTTCTGACACTTGAGGACAGCCTCCTCCTATTAAACAAGCTATAGACGAGATGCTAGAAGATCTACCAAATCCATCTTTCGCTCCGGGTTTGTCTACACCTCTGTTTGATGTCTCCCGTACTTATGGTTTGAGCTCCAGGTAAAACCGGGCCCCGATTATGGGAGGATCTACTGCAATACTCGCCGCAAATCAAGGGCGCAAATATCCTCGTGAGACAACCTCCAAAATTCGAAGAAGGCAAAGCCTTAAGCACCCCCGGGCATAAGCACATGCTCTCGCAGCTCACAGATGACTGTGTCCTCCCGCTCTCGGACGTACTAGATATTTCCAAGGCATATAACGTCGCTGCCATCTGTGACGAGTGCCGGCTGCATTTCGATATCGAAGTGAAATTCACGAAAAACAAGAAGTACGACGATTGTAGCATCTGCCCAGCGGGGGATCCACTTCACCACTTTCGATATGAGATAGAACTTTCGGAGCCGGTAGATTTCATTAATCAATACCCACAAGGGAGATGGGTGGATAAGTTAGTCTTCAGTTGCTCGGGACCAACATGCCCGACTATTGTTACAATCACGACGAAAGCTCCAATCTTGAGTCCAGAGTTGACGTCTTTGCTTGTCGATCCAGAGACTTTGAGAGCACGAATGAAGAATGCTCAAGAAAGCTTTCCATATTTGTTCGCCGAAGAAAGCGAGATCGCGCCGACCCAGCCATATGTTGCACTTGGGACATTGCTCACGTATATCAAAAATGCAAAGCAGAGAGATCAGAGGCCTATACCCTCACAGAACCTGAGGTTTGTGACGAGCATTGGGAGGGACGCAGCAGTGCTGCTGAAGCTAGCCGGGTTTACGAGCAGCGAGGAGGTATGTGTGAAGTGCGGAAAGTGGTGGGGTTGGGCTGACGGGCAACAGGGTGAAACCTGGAAACCGCCAAGTTTGGAGATGTTGGATAATCCAGAGTCAGGTGTTTTTAAAAACATGCAGGATATGCTAGAAGAGATTATGATTCTTATGGATCAGCGCAAGCCTGATCATGATTACACCAAGCGTAACAGGCCTCATCTCAGAATTCTTAGGATCAAAGAGCTAATGACAAGATTTGAAGCGAATGTACGCCAGCAAATTGTACGAGCAAATAAAGAAATAAAAAGGCTTTTTGGAAACGAGAAATGTAAGGGCCTTTTGAGGTCTATATCGACATATGTTATAGCTGATTCTTGCGGTTTAGACCCTTGCACTTCTAGTAATTGGACTATAGACCTTACCATCCCCGAACACCCGTAAGTGCTTTCTAAAATCATTCAAGCATGAAAGGCTTACAACCAGCCCATCTAACTGAAATGTTCGTTTCCGCGTCTGCAGATATTATGCAGGCATTGGAGCAGTAGGAGATTTCGCAGATCCTCTAGTTTTCTGGGCATTCGAACGACAGAGCGCATGCGATCCTGATAATAAACCTTACTATTTTCAATGTCTTGAAAACATTGCTGCAGGGCGTCATAGCGAAATGCTGAATATCGAAGTTGCCAAGGCACGCTCCGAAGGAGCCTATACTCTCGTCGAATTATCAGCAAGTTACGAATATTTTGGTGTTGACCCAGGTAAATATAATAGCGATGAGGCATTTATTATCGGGTCGTTTGAAAGTCGTGTGAGAGATGCTCCAGTACATGAGCATCAAGCAAGAGCCAACTTAAGAATCATTGGACATGCGTTAAAGAGCCAGAGGATATTAAATGCGTCAGATAAAGGTGATATCTTCTAGAAGAGTGATGGTGGTCTGTTCTGACGTGGGAAAAGTATCAATTCGGGATATCAATACTGCCTATGACTGGCTTAACGTCACGTCAGCAACGCCAGACGACTTCATTTTGTCGGCGTACAAAGTCAGAGTAAGGATTCTACCTCATTATAGCTCAAGTTTCTCGTATGAATGTTTCTAATGGGTCACCAAGATTGGTGATAATGCAGTGGATGAGAGTACGGGAAGGGAGGCGCTGAAAATCATCGCGGAAGCTCGGCAGAGCCATGTCCTGCTCACGTTTCTTGAGACAGGCACAATTGAAACTCCTATGGAAACTGGCGCCGCGTACGCTCGGTTGGGAACCGACGATAGATCGATTCCCGATGATCTGGTCATATCAGTCTTCAATTTCAGGGTAAGCTTAAACCGACCGATTCTTTCTAGAAGCCATATACTTAAGTAGCACAGCTGCAAGATGATCCAAAGCGTATGCAAGAATTGAGAGCAGCTCTCAAAGCTATTGCGAGTAGTCGTGATAGTGCCAAAATCAAGAACTTCTTGGAAACAGGGCAGTCTGATCAGCCTATCATGGGCTCTGCTGACTCACCGGTTGGTATCGAAAATATCGGAAATACATGTTACCTGAATAGCCTGTTACAATTCTATTTTACCGTCAGGCCTCTACGAGACATGATTCTAGATATCGATAACTTCCAAGAGATGGAAATCACCGATGAAGTGATTGAACGGAAACGAGTTGGTGGAAGGAAAGTCACTGCACAGGAGGTTGAGAGAGCGAAGAGATGTGAGTGATTTCTCATGATTAGAAGTTTCAAAATCTGACTTTTAATAGTTGTTCGCTGCCTTCGTACCCTATATCAGAATCTAATCGTATCCGCACAATCATCTGTCACCCCGGAACGCGAGTTGGCTTATCTAGCGCTTGTGAGCTCTAAAGATGAGGCCGAGGACGAGGTGAGACGTGGGTCAATGACTGCCATGGGCCCGGCGCTACCTCTCATCAACGTTACTGATGAAAGTGATAAAATGGAAATTGATCAAAAATCAATGTCTACTCCGGAAGCCACTGGTGATGATGACGCCAGTGAAGCCACTTTGGTTAACGATGACCCCCCACCTCCCTATTCTGGCCCCAATGAAGAAGATTATGTTATGGTAAATATGGACATCAAGCCAACCCATATGGATAATAAGGAGAACTACTCGCCAAGAACACAAGGCCCCTTTGGATTTGTTGGCCCTCTAAGGCCTCCTCTCCAGGGGGTAGATCTCAACGAAGGATCTAGTGGGTTTCAAAAAGGGAAAGAAGTTGAGGCGCCATTAACCCCACCACCGGAGGTGCCAAATAGGCCGCCGCCGCCGATTCCACCGCGGCCAAAACGGGAGGACTCTTCCAAAGTGGATATGATGATGTTCGGGAAACAACAGGATGTCACAGAATGCATTGGGAATGTACTTTTCCAACTTGAGGCGGCAATTAAGCCCGAGGAGATTGATGAGAATGGGGAACAAATTGACATTGTTAAGCGCCTCTTTTATGGAAAAACAAAACAGACGTTGACCTTCCCAAACTCTGCCGAAACACGTATTAAAGAGGTTAGTATATAAAAAGAAATTGTGTCTTGTTTCACTGTGGTATGGGCTAATTACGAGTAGGAGTTATTTTCGCATTTGCTGGTTAACGTTGCTGAGGGTGATAGAGATATTTACTCGGCTCTTGACAGTAGTTTTGATATCGAACAAGTTGATCTTGAGGGTCGTGAGGCTAGGCGCTACCTTTCAATTAGCCACCTCCCACCCATTCTTCAGATTCAAGTTCAGAGAGTTCAGTTTGACCGAGCGAGATCTGCAGCATATAAATCAAATTCGCACCTGAAGTTTGACGAGACAATCTACCTGGACAGATATATCGATACAGATAACCAGGACCTCAAGGAGAGGCGCGAGAAGTCTTGGCAATGGAAGGAGGAATTGAAAATTCTGGAGAGACGGAAAGTTTCGATGACGAAAACACAGGTAAATATCTAAAAAAAAAAAAAAAAAAAAAAAAAATGGCATTGTGTTTACTAAAGCTATTGCTAATTATGGTATATGAAGGCCGGTGTTAAGTTATCGGAGGCTCTAGACCTTACGAGGGAATGGCTTTCTGGGATTGATAGCACAGAGGATGACATGGAGATAAATCCCACTGTTTTGGCTGAGCTTGAGGAGAGATCAAAAGCAATGAGAAGAGAACTTGAGGGTAAAGTCACATTTTCTTTTACTAGCCTATCCCGCTCTCCTTTGGGGTGGAATGGGGGTATTGCTGTTACAAATACTAATCATCATTTTTTGTAGTCTTGGAACAAGATATCAAAGACCGCGAATCTCGTATCAATTCGCAGTTCACGGACATGCGTAAACATGGTTACCGTATCCACTCCGTATTCATCCACCGCGGTAAGTTTGCAAATTTCTGCGTCAAGAAAAAAGATAGGAGGGACCATGAAAGCTAATGAGCGTCAAATAGGTTCGGCCACTTTCGGCCACTACTGGATCTATATTTACGACTATCAAAAAAAGGTTTTCCGCAAGTATAACGATGGATATGTTACAGAAGTTAGTAATGTATCAGAGGTATTTACGCACGATAGCAATAATAATCCGCCAACTCCATATTTTCTCGGTATGTTTTTCCAGGGTGGGATGCCATTTATGTGAATGCTGACAGCTTCGTATAGTCTTTGTGAAAGAAGAGGAGTGTACAACCCTTATGGAGGCAGTCAGACGGGAAATTATTATGGGATGATCTCGAACTTTTTGGGCTTGGAGAAGTCGGGTTTCTTTTATCAATATCTTTTTTAACTTTTGTCCCGTCGAATTGTAAATACTACATTTCTTTAATGCCTGTCTGCGAAAGGCACTTACTTCCGTGCCACAGTAGTGAGTGTGAGCCTGTGATTCGAGAGTCAAGTAAAACAATGGCCATTCTTGCTTGGCCACGCTTGGCCAGGCCAATAGTAATGGGGCCGTGCGCAGACGAATGTTCAAAACCATCTCAACTCTCACTGCATGCATATCTAGTCACCTTGAAGTCACAACACCTACAGAACACCCGGCTGCACAGGTCTGGGCGACGGTATTGAAGGTCACAGGCCGTGGAGGTGGTTCCCCAGGCTATTGTTTCCTCGTTATTTTTTTTTTCAAAAGATCGTCCACGGCAGCCGCGGAGGAATATTTCAAGACAACACACCGGAGTTTTTTTTCGTTCGTTCGTGAAGCATGTGGGGGCCGAGAATCAGAATCCGGGGTTTTCCCACATGGGGAAATCCCTCCCAACCGCCGCTGCCATCAACAAAAGTGAAGCCTCCCTTTGTGATGAATAAAGTGGGTATCGTAACAACCGCAAAGCGAGCCCGAGAGGAACGGGAAACTGGCAGCACGTAGAAAAAAGAAAAGAAAAGAGAACGACTGCACGTTGCATCCCACTTGGTGTTGTTCTGCACTCGTCGCTGCCTTCTTTTTACTTTATTTTTTTGTGAGCAGCGAGGTCATTGTCCACGTGCAACGTGTAGCTGGGTAGAATGGAAACAGAAAGAGTATTTTTTCTCTTCTTTTCTTTTTTGCTGTTACTGCTCAAAAACGAATACCGGTTTAGGTAGGGGTATATGAGCTGGTCGGAACGCAAATAACCCTCTCTCTCCCTCTCTCCCTCTCCACTTCTGTCCTCTTTCAAAGGGAGGTTGGGTGTTTGAGGAGGGGTTCTTTCTTTTCTTTCTTGCTTTTTATTTTATTTTTTAGAGGCATTTTGCAAATTTTGCAAAAAATAAAAACCCCCAAGCAGGTCGAGAAATGATAGGAGCAGGCATTGGGAGCGGGCCTGTGACATTTCTGCTGATGATTTTGTGATACGGCCCTCCAAGTACACATATAAATTATTAAGGGTTGCGGGCTCAGGCATGGAGCTGCTGTTGGCGGATAGCCACTAGATGATGCCAGCTATGAGCCGAGATACTCTAGATATGAAGTAATTATGTAGGTACGTATACACCTTACCCTACACTGGCATCAGGTACCTCACGATACTCAAAGTCGTCTGAAGCACCAATTGCGGGTACCAGGTTCGAGATCGATCCGGATCTGATATTTGCTTGGCAGCTAAGTAGGACACTTGATAATATTATTAGCTGTGAACCAGACCGCTGATTCCTGGTAGGGCTTATTTTTCTTTCTTCGTCCATCTCATTTTTACCAAAAAACCTCTACGTGTGAGATGCTAAGGCTTAATCAAAATTTGTATTTTTGTTTGTTTATTGATGCCCATCACTCGGGTAATATGTAATACGTAGGTACACTTGAGTTTGCAATGGAGAACTCAAGAAGGCATAATAACCGCAGCAAGAATAGAAATTAAGAAAAGTCTCCCCAACACCCTCTAGAAATAGTAGATGTAATGCGGAGTTATCGAGGTACGATGCACTCAGACAGATAAGCGACAGGACGGTTTTTTTTCTCTCCCGTTTAGTAGTCAATACCCATGGGCAATTGCCACAAACTTGAAATAGAGCAAGGCAACCAACGAAACTGACATTAGAAAATAGACTCCTAGGTAAAAATTTAACAAGAACATGGCAAGTAACGGAACAGCTAGAACCTCGCTGGTGAGATTCCGGGTAAAAAGAAAAAATAACATAAAAACCGAACGCCATCTTCCAATACTGGCCAAAAATGAAAATAAAGATAAATGATCAAGAAATAAACGAAAACACCTGACCAACGCCCTCCCTGCCTGTACAATTTACGTTTCCCTATCATTCCATATATTCGTTTCCCAGTGTTTCAGGATTATTTAGCAACATCTTCTGTGTTGATGTATTGATACCACGGCCCATCTGCCAACCCTAGACCATCATCAGTGCCGAGAGGAGATACTGGCGACGATTTTAGAGGTGAAGGCATCATCTGCGGTGCGCTGGGGTCTGGTGAACAATATGGTACATCCACATCAGAGCTTCCGCAAAGGGAATATTGGTTGATCCCACACAAATCATTAAAATCATAAGCACTATAGTTAGAGGATGCATCTGGAGCGAGTGTCTTCAGTCCTGTTGCGCTGGGATTAAACATAAAAGTCGGGTTTGTATAGCCATTCATCAATGATGGGTATAAAGTATCATTGGGATCAAGCGCGCTGTGCAGGAATTGCTGTGTCTCGGGTGGCAATTCAGCAGTCAATGGGAATCCGAAGGGAAAGTCGTTGTGAGGCATATATGGTGTATGCACACTCTCAGGGGAGGCTGTCTGCTCGAATGTAGGCTGTAACACACGGTTCTGAGGTGGCTGAGGTGTTGCTTGTGGCGATACTATTTGAGTTGAGTTCATTTGACTTGTAGAGTTCGTCGGGGGGGAGCTCATTCTCCTGGTGGTTGACGATGTAGAAGCCGGCGACGCAGCGGGTGGGACCGCAATGGACGAGCGTCGGATACCTGCTCCTTCCTGTCGATACTGTGGCATTTGTATTCCCTGGGGAACATGCACCTGCATTTGTCTTGCATAAAGCCTTTGACCACCGTTAGGAGAAGGGTACGGTTGCTGGCGGAGGGAAGCATGTGTAGTCTGAATCTGCGGCGAGGGAACACCTTGGGAATGCATCATTTGAGGAGTATGCATCAATGGTGTTGGCTGCATCAGCTGTTGATGCGACATCATCTGGGGATGCTGCATCATCTGGGGATTTTGAGTCATGAACCCAGGTGGATAAATGGTGTTTGGAGGATAAGCACCGCCGCCGCGGTTATATTGCATGAACGCTGGATCGAAGTGAAGAGCGCTCCGCACGGCGACTTGGTTTACAAGATAAGCATTGAGGCGGCGATTCCACTCGTTTGTACCTGCAGCCAGGTTCCGAGTGAGTCCTCTGTAAACGTTTGGATAGTCGTCATCCTCCTCCGAGTACATTTCCTCGTTGACGACATCTTGTTCTGTCACTCGCAGCGCGCGGCCAGTCCTCTTCTTGTGTATCTCTGAGGCTCGACGGGCCGACTCGATGCGAGCCTCTAAGCTGCGATCACTTCGCCGGGAAGCCGCAATGTACGCCCTGCGCGCGCAACTAGTTAGATAATGGGAACCTTGAGATGAGTATTTATTGAATCTAAACGACTTACCTTTCTTGGTTTTCTTCATGTGTGCGCTCGGTTTTGACGGCCTTGGTTGGGGGGTTTGTCCGTTGAGGAGGCATAATTACTGATCACCGCACAGGATTCCAGTAGATTAAATGAATCAATGGCTGGTGTTCCAGTTGTAAATCTGGGGAAGCTAGGTAGCGATGGGGGGAAGAGGATCGAAAAAGTGGTGAGGATCGTGGATCGATCGATAAGGAGGATTTGCAGGCGAAGGGAGAGAAGGATGCAAAGAAGCAAGATAAGGTTTTCTCAGAATAGACAAGCGAGAATAGCTATTTGAGGACTGAGTGTCCAAGAAAAGACCAGCAATGACAGTAAACGTGTTACAAAATGTGATGATGGGCTGTTCCAACTGCTTCTGCTGGTAATGTGTATAATACGTAGGAGATTGATTGGTATTATGATTGATGCAGAGTTAAAATGTAGGGTGAGTAGGTAAAAGTGTTGGATGAAGATGATGATCGAGATTGAGGGAACGATCGTGGGGTGAGGGAAACTTTGAGAGCGGAGAAGGAGGAGGATGATGAAAAGGAGGAGTGGGTTGAACAGGTAGGGGGACCTGGAGGAGGAGGTAGTGGAGGAGGAGTTAGAAAGTGAGGAGAGGAGGTGGTGTGTGTGTGGGGGGGGGGGGGGGGGGGTGAGGGCACAGACAATCCCAAGAATCCCAAGAGAGGGGTGGGGAGAGAGCCGTGGGATTCTGTTCAGCAGTTCTAACTAGTACAACACGCACTGTGATCCTAGAAGACGCTAGTACAGCTGTCTCTTCGGAAACCTGTTCGGGGAAGGGAAATTGCCGGCTTGGTGGTCCTTGGAGAGACCCTTTCTTTATTTTTTCTTGAGACCCTTAGCCTTGAGACCACCCACTAATGTTCGGGAAAAAAGGACGGACTGGGGAGAATTCGGCCAGGTGTGCTGTGTTTGAATTCTTGCTGCTGGTTCTTACTGCTTCCTGCTTGCTGCCTGCTGTCACGAATCAGTCCCCTAGCTCACACACCCACTCACACTTCTCTCACTCACAAGTTTCGGCTTTCGTCGAACGCCAGGCTCGCTTGCTTGGTCGATGCCGAGTGCCTGGGCTGGATAACGCGGATCACAAAGCTGTTAATCCTTGGCAGCGTCTTATTCTCGCTTGTCTGCTTCGTGTATCTATCCGGTCCGGGCGGGTGTCGGCCAGTAGTAACAGAGCCTGAGGTTGCCTCTAGGATAAAGCAATAGCCAATATCCACCTCAATCAATAGAGAAAGAGAAAAAGATATCGTTACTGGGAGGGTTAAGTAAAAAAAATTGAGGAGGACACTACCACAGTAGATACGATAATCAGTATATTGCTGTTTGAGGTGGTTTTTTTTATTTTTTATATATATATTTTTTTCGGGAATAAATTCTTTACTTTGGTGTTGTACCCTGGGGCGAGCGCACCCTTATACACTCGTCACATTTATTCCGGCTTTATCCGAGGGAAACCTACAAGCTTGGTCCTACGTAGTTTTTTGTGAGAGTTGAGGAATCCGCTAACGATACTCACGTCTCGGCTACGTAAACATTGAATTTATAAGATTTGGCACTGAGAAAGTGGATACACAAAATATTCCCCGTGGGCCCGATGGTAACATAGAGTGTCCCAGATCGGTCAAGCTGGATCTCACCTCCGGAGTCCAAACCCTGCTCGTGCCGATACGCGAGATCTAGGAGGCAACCGATTCGCGTGCCACGCTAGGGCCCTAGATCGATCTCAATGAACTGAGATCCACATGTTTAAAAACATCTAGTGTCTTGGCTGTACGCCGACGTAAGGCCCCCCATTAGAAATTAGAGCACTATGAATTTGGTGTCAAAGACCATGAGTTCTGACGTCTTTTCTTCTTTCTATCAACTAAGTTTTTTTTGCCTGCGAAGCCTAGAAACACCGACAAGACAGGGGCTCTGGCACTCTATCTTGTGGTATAACGTCTCCAAAGCTACAGCAGACCCTTTTACTTCTAGCCGACGGACGGGTGTTGTGCAGTCAATACCCGTATTTTGTTTCTGGCTTCGAGAATGCTAACCTGGACATGGGAAAATTTGTCCCAGTCAGGGTATTATAACTACTTATATGTTGGTACACAATGGATCTTTGCTCAGCTTCGGGAGTCCTGCTCCTCCTCGCGTATCTTGCTGAGAGATCCTTGTCTTTGTTGGTTGCCTTCGATCTGGAGAGCTTTTGATTCTCAAGGCCAGCGGGAGCTATAACCAAGGGACCTCTTTCCAGAATTTAGAAGTACAAAAGGTTCGTCACGCGTATTCTTTCAATTCCAGGGTTTGTTTCAGGCCGATCATAATTGAGCAGGTTCCCGAAATCTTACCTTCAGGGGATTTCATGTTAAGATCTCCTACCTGGAGACATAAACTACATGTATGCATACCTTAGATCAATGGTTACCTATATGAACGAGGTTGTTGCAACTAAGTTTTTACAAGTTCCTAGACAGGGCTTCATACAAGCCTCTGATTTTTTTACCAGCTAGGATTACCCGGGTAGCTTTGGTGGTAACCCAATAATTGATCTGGAGGTCTCAGATGGGTGTATTGAGTTTTTTTGAATCGTATCAATATACGTGCACAACCGCTACTACGGATACTACTAAAAAAGGATCATGGACCAGTATATCAACTAACTGGATTATACTTTCTCAGCAACAGTCTTGGAGGTCTTGATCCAGGGCTTTTGTGACTTTGTTAGTTTTATCGCCATATCCTCAAATGACTTTCTTGCCTGCATACATTGGACCGGCCAAAAAAGGTGTTCCTTTACCGACATGCAACTACAGTCTACACACACATGTAGTTACACTTCTCTGGTTACATGCCCCATTATACAATGTTTCCACAAAGGGGAAGGGCATAATGATCGGTGGGTGGCTTTTTATTATTTTGGTTGTTGCTTTGACACTTCTTCATCTGTCCTTAAGCGCCAAGGGTCTAGGATCTGGGATGAATTGAGACAAGCTATCCCCAGAGTATGAGTGGAACGGCGGGAACATCCGCCCTCTCCGTGAAATCGCTAGTTAGACTTAACTTTCCTCAAGTGAGACATGTATCATACTCCGACCCCCTGATCTTGTAAGATCGGGATTGACAAATACTCTAACTTCCTGGAACTTGGATCTCATGAAATGTGCACGGATGATTTACGTCGGGTGGTATCTTAAACAGTACCCTGATCTTGGGTTCCCGTGAGAAGAACGCTCAGATTTTGTTTACAGTCGCTCACCTAGTGACGGCGGATCCTGTCTGATGGTTGTGTTTGCAGTAATTTCCCCTTGGCGTCCCAAAGTTAACTCTGTTATTGGCCTCAAATCCCTGACCGCCATCAGACAGGATCCGCCTTCACCCCGTGAGTGACTGTACTGCAAAGACTTGGGGCAGCTGTTGGACTGGACCAATATTAAGGTGTGCAGCTCGGCAGAAACTCCACCAGGGAAGTCTTGGAGATTGGCGCACTGAACAGATAGGTGGATGTGACGTCACACATAGACTAACAGCTAGCTGCTATTTGGTTAGTGCACAGCCAATGCTGTTCCTCCTTCTGCACAGGGCGGGAAAGAAGTAATTTAGGGGGTATTTCTAAGCGTGTGGCGTGCGGGATACATAGGAGGCATTTTCTAGGCGTGGGAATAATAATGTGGAGAATGGTGTATCCATGTACTCAGACTATACAAGGCTCTGGGATTTAGTGAGTGAACGGATCCTCACCTGTCAACACCCATTTAGTTCGCTCACTTAATGCCAGAGCCTTGTACCTACAGTCGCCCTCCGTTATAACGAACCTGCATATTCCAGTACAGCAGGTAAAATCTATCATTTTCTATGTGAAATTCGGATTCGGATCACCAAAACCCGTTCGTTATAGCAGATTTGTAGCTTTTTTGGCATTCGGTATAGCGGAGGGCAACTGTAGGTACCTAGAGTAAGTACACGAGTGCCGTCTGTTGATGAACAGGTCCTAGTGTGTTAAGGGTTAATGGGAACGATGATAACGTGCACAGCTCGACTATTTCTTACTTTACCATACTACATAGTCACCCCAGTTCATCTACAGCCGATATTTTGAAATACACTGTAGGCACCCCGGAAACTACATGTATGCACAATCCATCGCAAAATATTTAGCCTAAAGATTTTGAGGAAAGTTTGCGATGGATAGCCCTACTCAAGTACTGTAACATCCGTTAATTCTATTACATTCAACAGTGATACATAAGCGATCCTTCCTTCCTTCCTTAACTGCTCATTGCGTATCATACATATAGATCGATAGGCCTGTTTGCAAATCCATAAATAAGCTAGCAAAACCCAATTCACTTAAATCAGACGAGTCATACTTTATCACTCACACCTCATCTGGAGTCATCGGGTCTATTGAGGTGTACCTATTCTAGAGGTAAGGGCAGAGGTGTGCATAAACGAGGGATGTTCTGAGCAGTCTCTTCTCTACCAGTTGCTTTCTAAAGACACGGACTTTCAAAATCACATGGCGCGAACTGGGTGGGAATAAGTGCTCTATGAAAACCAACCGTTACACTGGTCGATAATCCTTGACGAGAGATAAAGGGCTGCCTCGAGGTTTATTGTGCTCTGCCCAATGGTTTTCTCGGGGTTGCCAAACGATCTTTATGATCGCACCTGTCCAATGGTCGAAGGTACTTTAGTTTAGGGTGTTCTCATCGTGACCTTCACCATACCATAAATAGTATTAACAATATCAAGGTCAATCTAATTAATAACTTAAACCCTTCACAATACTCTGACTTTTTTGGCTAGGCACCGGAAATGATTGCTGTCTCCTTTCCCCAAGGAATTTCGTGAGCTTTGAGCAGAAACTGAGATCAGGATTTCTTCAAAACCATTCATGCCATTTTTTCTACCCGGTGACCCAATTGAAGGAAGCTAGAAACCGTTTCTAGGTTCGTCAATGGGGGTCACTTCCAGTATATCGAGAGATTTCTCCCTTTGGTATCGGTGCAAGGTCCTTTCTATTCTGAGATATATGCACTGGATCACAGCACAATCCAAGACATGAGTGACACGTTTGGAAACGTGGCATTTACAGTGGGTCCGCAGACATATGAATTTGTTTCTGGAAGTCCACCGTCGGAGAGTTTTTTACTGCTACGGAGCCATTTCCTTGGGCTCAGTTTGCCGAGACAATTGAAAGCCCAAATGACTGAGTTTGTAGCTCGATGGAAATTTGACGCACCTCAAACTTCTCAGGTGTGGCTCTCGGGGTCTGGTTCGGGTCGCTATATTCTCTTGGTATTTGGAACGGGGCAGAAGAAATATCAGCCATGGTCCTCAGCCCTGTCCTAGCTCAGGTACCAGAATACCTGCCTAACGACTCTCGTCTTGTTTCAGACATCAACAAGGATGTTAACGTTATCTATTTTCTGTGGCGTCGTGTCCTACAAGAATGGCTGAGGAAACTACCCAATCAGACACTCCAAAGGGGATCCAATATGTGTGTATGATTGGGTTTAATTCAACAGAGAATTTTCTACATGTAGGTAGCTATCCTGACAAGTACATGACGTAGCACCAATCCATTCTCGCTAAGCTTCCTATATCTCTAGCTATCTTTGTTCGTCTTGTTTGATTTTAACTGTAGCAGCTGGCTCGGGGATTGCGTGACCGGGGGCAATACCAATACAAATTGAATCTAAGATATATCAGCTCAATGTCAATGATATTTTGAACAAGAAATGGACACACATTCGTTAATGCTTTAGTATTGAACCCATCTTGTGACCAGTTCAAGTTAGGAAAATAAATCAATGTTGGTTTGTAAGACTAGAACAAAGAGCCCTTTGGTCCCACAACAGCACATACATAACCCTCAGGTAGTTCAAGATACGTATATACGGGTTCTAGTGATTATTCTCGTGGGTCTATCTAACTGGCTAAATTTGTTGGAACATGATAAAGAAAGTCCCGCATAGCTCTCCGCCAAAACACATGTTCCCCCCCCCCCCAATAACCTAACCGCCTGGAAGGAGCAAAGGGTAGGTAAATAAAGAATAAGGCCAAACTTGTATGGCCTCCTTACCCATAGTTATACTCTCTTCGTTCCCCTTACCCTTTTTTTTAATTTTTTTTTTTAATTTTATTTATTCTACCTTTCCCTGTAAACATTGGAATTCGACCATGTTGGGCATGGTGCATAGCGTAGTCGAGTGATAAGACATGATTGGCCGAACAGCCGCGACATCCCGTTCAACCGCTCTGATGCACGCCTAGAAAAAAAGAAAAGGAAAATCATAGGTCCATGTTGCCTAGCATTGACGTTTATTGTTTTGGAGTAAATGGATAGCATATTAGGCTGACTGGAGACCCATATCTACCTACTTTTACAATGTAGGTACAGATACGATATTGACGTGGGGTGGGATGGACACCCGGCATACATGTTTTTTTTTTTTTTTTTATTTCACCCGGGATAATGTGTTGTTACTATTGAGGGAAGTACCATCTAAACTTTAATGAACTTGCAGTTGGTTGGAGGAAAGAGTTCTCTGGTGTGCTTGTTTCATGAAACACCCGAGCAAGTACATGTATTGTAGTTATTACGTGCCTTGGCCCATCTGGTAGTGTCCTGAATCAGAAGCATTTCTTTGCACAAGAAGTGGCCCATCTATATGCGCCTGAGTAGACGTGCTTCCAATAGGAAGACAGTGTGATGAGAGTTTATGGGCCATTGCACCCTGCATGACGGGTGAAGTCTGAAGAAAACTGCCGGATAAATTCGTGTACGTCTGTCCACTTCACCTACCTCACTTCCGGCCCTTCTCTAATTGGCCAAATATAATCCACCAACAAATCTTGTGAGAAATGGTGTGTAGGTGGTGTATATTTTCTGACTTATGGACTGGATAGGGTACGGAGTCTTTGCTCCTCTTTACCCTAAACGAGGCCGGCTGATTGCCCGTGCAGACGAAGATGTACGATACACACGTGATTGAACGACAAAAACAAAGCAAAATTAACTCCCAAGATATTGTACGCCCGTGGATAACAGCAGATATACACGGAAAATATGAAACAGGTCCTTAAAACCCCCATGTCCCTCCCGCTACTTACGCCCAACACATATCCCTACTTGGCGCTACAGTGGGCACACTTCCGAGGGTGAAGGTCGGGGCTGCGAAGGCTTCGATTTCTACTCGCAGATAATCGATGATAGGATCATCCCATTTTTTTGTTTTCTGGGCTTCACGTAGTTGGGGGTTAACCTGGTGACTTATTGGTTGTATCTGCTGCTGCGCGGTTTGGAAAGGGTTCAGATTATTAGATGACGATGAATTTTGCTGCACGGGAGTCCCAAAAGTAGAAACATGAGTGATAGGTTGCCCAAAAGCAGGTACTTGGTGCTGTGGCTGACCAAATGCCGATGTTGATTGTGCCTGCTCAGTAGTAGCTTGCTGACCTTGAAATGGATTGACGCTTGAGAAAGGAGAAGCAGAAGTCTGTTGGAAGGCACTTGCTGTCGTACCAATGTTTGAGTTAGAGGCTTGTTGACTAAAGGGCGTATTCACAGGGTTAGTCTGCGGAGGTTGCCCAAATGGCGACGGATTTTGAAGTTGCCCTTGCGGGGCAGCGTTAGAAGCCCCGAATGGCGAGCTTTGGGGGATAGCTGGTTGTCCAAAAGCAGGCTGGCCGAAGGCAGGCTTTGCTGCGCTTCCTGCCCCGAAAGGGGAAGGCTGTCCGAAAGCCGATATCGGCTGCTGTGTGGTAGATTGTCCAAACGCGGAAGCCTGTGTAGCAGAAGGTTGAGCCCCGAAGGAAGAGGATTGCCCTAGAGCTACAGGTTGGCCAAACGTCGGTTGACCGAATGCTGGCTGACCAAACGCTGGCTTAGGAAGAGCTGGCTGACCGAATGCCGGTTGACCGAACACATTTTGGGGCTGAGGGACAGAGGGCACAACTGAACCAAATGCTGGTTGACCAAAGGCAGGTGTAAGTGGGAGTGAGGGTTGACCAAATGCACTTTGTCCAAATGCTGGAGTTGGACGAGCAGAAAAAGGTGAAGGGGAGCCAAACGCAGATGTTGATTGCGGCGCTTGACCAAAGGAAGAAGTAGGCTGTGACGGTTGAACGAAGGCAGAAATTGGCTGTGGTGGTTGACCAAAGGCAGAGACTGGCTGAGATGTTTGACCGTACGTGGAAATTGATTGTGATGGTTGGCCGAAGGGAGATATTGGCTGTGACGGTTGGCCAAAAGCAGATGTTGGTTGTACTGGTTGACCGAAAGTAGAAGCAGTCTGACCCGAGTTCACAAAGGGCGATGTTTGGGAGGCCTGAGCTGGATATCAGCATATATACAGTCAGGATAGATGGAATGATCGTTTTGCAGCATAAGAAATCCAACTAATAACATACCGTGGTGCCGAAGGTTGATGAGGGTACATTATTTGAGCTGTAGCGTGAGCTGGCTCTGTTCTCATAAGCCTTCTTCATAAAATTCACAGCTCCTGGAAGATCATTTAAGATATTTTTGATTTGGACATCGGCTTCTAAAGTTAATCTCTGCCATTCTACTTCCTATAGAGACGTCAGGATATCTAGGTGGGAAGATAATTAGTTAGGATAAGTGATATACATAAGCGCCAGGGTTTCCATCTGCTCTACACTTGTACGCTAAAACCCGAGCTTCTTCAGGCGATATATCTTTTGCATCGATAAGTTGTGAAGGCGGGTCTTTTCCGGGGGCATAGCTAGAAAGTGGCCACGTTGGTCGCTCCGTCAAATCCGTCTTGATGGAGTCTTGGGTCGGAAGATTAAAGCTGAGTTGAACTGAATTAGGTCAAGCGTATATGATGGATAGTAAGTGGGCACTGAGAGAATGGGATGAGATTGAACCCTCCCCCCATCAAAGAGCGGTTAGGAACGATCGGAGGTAAGAGAATGATGTTGTGCAGGCGGTTACTTTAAAGAAGAGAAGCTCACCCTTCACCTAACTTTGACTGGGTTCCGCCGCTAGTATTATTGTTTCCATAGCCTATGAAGGCAACCAAATGTAAGTTATATT